ACTAGGGTGTTGCTAAGGTATTCCGAGTGACGACTAGGGTATTGCTAAGGTTTTCTGAGTTATAACTAGGGTGTTGCTAAGGTATTCCGAGTGATGACTAGGTTGTTGCTAAGGTATTCCGAGTGATGACTAGGGTATTGCTAAGGTATTCCGAGTGATGAATAGGGTGTTGCTTAGGTTTTCTGAGTGATGTCTAGGGTGTTGCTAATGTATTCCGAGTGACAACTAGGGTGTTGCTAAGGTATTCTGAGTGATGATTAGGGTGGTGCTAAGAGGTTGCTAAGGTGTTCTCAGTGCATTCTAGAGCATTGCTAGGCTGCATATTCTGGGTGACTCTACTGTAGGGGCGTTGCCAGGTTGTTACTAAGGTGTTCTAAGTTGATTATATAACATTGCTAGAGTGATGAGTAGGGTGTTATGATTGAGGGTTGCTATGATTCTCAGTATATTCTAGGGCTGTTGTTAAAATATTCAGGCTGATTGTACGGGTGTTGTTGCTAAGGTATACTGAGAGATGCCTAGTGTGTTCTGTGTGGTCCCTAGGTGCATTGCTAGGGAGTTACTAAGATGTTCTGAATAGTGGCTATAGTTTTGCAATGTGTTCTTTTGGTTGCTTAATTGTTGTTAAGCAGTTGGTGTTCTCAGTGCATTCTAGGGAATTACTAGGCTGTAATTAAAATATTCTGAATGATTGTAGGGGTGTTACCAGGTTGTTGCTAAGGTCTTCTGAGTTGTTTCTATGACATTGTTAGGGTGTTGCTAAGGCATTTTAAGTGAGGGTGTTGTGTTCAGGGTGGTTTCTAGGGCATTGATCATTGCTAAGGTGTTCTGTGAAATTGCTAGAGTGTTGCTAAGGTGTTCTTAGTGATCACAAAGGCGTTTCTAGGGTGTTGCCAAGATGTTCTGAGTGGCCGCGAGAGTTTTCCGGGTGGTTGCCAGGCTGGTAATAGTTACTTTTCTAGATGGTAAATTTTTAAAGAGTTAAGTTTCAGAAATGCCATAGCAACCATCTAGATCACCCTTTGTATGTGCTTTATATGTATTTAATGAATATCTAACTTAATTTAATGAACTTTTTTTCAAACAGCATTGTAATTGTTATCAAGTAGCATTGAGAAATTTGAATGAAGCTTCTTGACAGCAAGTCTGACCTTGGCTGTTTGAGAGCGAGGGTGCGTCTCCTTTCTAGATCTCTATTTCTGAAGGAGGAAAACGTATGTATGATACCAAACCTCTCACCGGTACTTGCAAATGGAAAAGTCAGGATATCCACAATGTCTGGAAAGGCACAAATGACCAAATAAAAGAGTTTAGAAATATAATCTGCCATTGCTGCACCTGGTAAATCAAGACAGTACAGTATCTTCAAACAACCTAAACTAGTTCTCTCATTTATGCTCAACATCATGTCATTTGTTTGTTTGTCTGTTTTTTTGTTGTTGTTTTTTCGCCAGTGAAACACAAACAGCACAATGACAGTCCATAGTGACCATGTGGTCTGTCAAGCTCTACAATTAAAGTCCATATTCAACTTTATGTGGGGAGCACATTTAATTTTTTTTAAATCTTTCCCTCCACTGTAGCTCAAATCTTGTTCTCCATCTTATTTATTTAAACTGGTATATCATGTTTGGTTACAACATGCATGAGAACCAATGGTGATTTGGCATCGGTGATGATAAACCTGGTGTGAGGCATTTTGGAATCTGAACATGCTTGTGAATTAGATTTTCAGTGAGTAATGACTTTTTGTGTTCCATGTGAGGAAAAAAACAGCATATAACATGAGGGTGAATAAATCATTATTTGTTAACTATTTTCTTTTGGTCAGTTAGGTACGCACCTGACTCATGTGGACACTTTCTCACGGTATCTTTGGTCAGCTGCCACATCAGCCACGCGCCCCATGAGACCGATCTTGTCTGTGGACATGCTGGGCGTTCAGAGAGTGGTAGTGTCCTCAAAGACGTAGAAGTTCTCACAAGAGATTGGTCATATCCTTTAGCATGGCTGCCACCAATTTCCTCTTCTACCAGATGAATCATCCAGGCTTTCAGCACCACATCACATGTCTCCAGTGGCCGCCTGACAAAAAAGTCTCTACGGTACAGCACAGCTGGAGGAAACACCAGAGGAACCGTTCTGGATCTGGGTTTTCCAAATCTCTTATGGTTAGTCCAGGTCCTTCTGTAGGCTGTCGTTGTTGGGGTTGAAATAACAATTTCGACCCCGATTCGACAGGCAACAGAGCAGTTATACTGCACCTGTACACTACATTTGTCCATCACTCTGTCGGGAGCATGTCCAAAGCGCACAAAGTCTCCATGAGGAGTCCTTTCAGCATCAGGAGACTCACACCAAACCTTCAGAGAGATAGACCCACACTTCAATCTCCAGTATGAAAGATTAGAAAATATGTTATTGCTGAATTTTGTGTTTTTTATACATTTAGACAGCAAATATGACTCTATGATATAATCCAGATCACACACTGGCTTGATGCTTGATTGAAAAGCTGCATGGGATCATTCACTCCTGTATATTCTTATAGCATTTTTTATTTTATTTATTTATTTATTTGTTATTTTTAATATATCAATGAGATTTCCCACAGTAGTGATAATTTGAAAGATTTGGTTTATGTCACAATGCAATTGAAGAAAATATTTGCAGTTACTAAAACAGGCATCATTATCTTTAAGCAAAATATAATTTATTGTCTTTGTATTTGACTACAGGTTTATACATCATTCATGTACAATATTATTAACACTCCAGGGAACTTCAGAGAATACCATAGTATTACCATGGCACATATAGCCTATGTCAATGAAAGATTTCCTGGAATTAAGATTTTGTTCCTATGACTTATTAATTAATTCCCTCGTTTTAGTTAATCATGAGTTAACTACGGAAGAAATTAATTAAACATGGACGGTGGCCACAAATTAATAAGTCGTAGGAACAAATTAACAAGTTGCAGGAATGAATTATTCTATTATTAATGTATTTATTTATTTTCAGCAGGTCACATGCACCGGTTTTCACTTTCGCTTTCCCCGGCAGCTCAACATCCAATGTCTCGCTCGTGCTGAAGATATAATTCGCTTTTCTTACCATTTACAGTGTCGTTTGCTTTGGAATATTGGGAGAAAACATTAAGATGAGACCAGGGATGAGCCCAGTATATGATGACACAATTATCTTTGTGGGGAAATATAATTAAACTTGACTTATGGTTAGCAACACAATTTCTATTGCTTTCCATGTTGATGGCCTTTGTATTGTTTCTATTTAAATGTACTTTTACATTTTGGATCACATTAAAAGCGTAATTTGTACATTGTGTGAATTATTTGTGCAAAAGATCCAGCCGTCACCGTCACGCACAGGCTGCTGCTGTATGTGTTTTGCGCAAGAGCCGCACGCGCCCCCAAACTAGGCTATAGCTTAATCTACCATAAATAGCTTTAGTCGATTACATGTCTTATCGACAATTAATTGATTGTCGATTAATTGTTAGCATCCCTAGTACCACGTCAGAAAATGGTAAGGTAGCCTACTTTCTGTTAGGATACATACCAGCAATAACACGCACAAATACACCTGGAAACGATTCATGCTATTAAAGTGACAGATTTTTAAAGCTGAAACTGAATCTCGAGCGACTATGAAAGCTGCATAGAAGTGAAAATAAAGTTGAAAGTGTCTTACCGGTGAGAGCATAAGAGCTGCGAAGATGAAACTCCACGCAACTCTCATCTTCGCTGTCTAAAGAACGCGACGCGCGATGGTCATGAAGCGATCAAACGCAACATTCACAGATCTGTATTGAGATAACCCAGGTGTTTACTGTCACGACATGTTTCATCGCTCTTCCGTGTGTGGGAATGCCTGGTGTGTTTGTGTCACTGTATACGCCACACTCTGATATGCGTGACTCGCCTAATCTGCGCTAGCAGCGACGCGACGCGACTAGAACGCTACTGACAGTTCAGAACGCTGAGCGTCGTCGCTTTCCCTTCTTCCAGCAATGTTGAGTGACAGAAGGTTAACCTTCAGCAAGCGTTCTTCTTCCATCCCAGGAAACATTCCTATTTCAAGTCCAAAAACCCCCTCTTATTTGTATAATGAAACGTCACTAATAAACAACGATTCTAATATATAATAATAATGTATTTCATCATTAGTAATGTATTTTTATTAATTATTATTATATTTTCGAATTGCTGTCTGTTTAATTGACACATTTTTGATGTTTTTTAAATAAGTTTCTTATAACTACTTATTAAGGTTGCATTTATTTGATGAAAAATACAGTAATACTGTATAGTTTCATGTAAAATTATAATATGTCTGTACTGTCACTTTTGATCAATTTAATGCGCCATTGCTTAAATAATTATTAGCTATTATTATTTTATAATCTTATTTACCCCAAACTTTTGAATATAGTGCATTATGCTTTAAAAAATATATATAATTAGTTAACAATTGAATTTTTTCACTACAATCAAGTAAATGTCGATTCAAAATTATGTTAAAAACCCCTTTGCCCCATTTATAGCATATCATTATGTATGATTTTTTTTTTTGTATAAGGAATTGGTTGTTATAACAACACTATGCAGCACAACAACACAAAACATGCTTTGAAAATGAAATTGCATGGTCTGTATCATCAAGCTTGGATTGTAAGGCTTTAGCATTTTCATGCGTTTCTGGTTGAGTCAATCAGGGAATGGTGCTTATATAAAGAGCCCCTGGGCTTTTACAGCTGTAGCTACTGAGCTTATGATACTAGTGGTTTAAGACTGAACTTTGAGACGTCAAGTGGATGGAGAGTTGTATATTTTATTCTGAATCTATGGTACTCATTGCTTTTGGTTTTCCATAAGAGTAAAGTCTGGATCAGGAACAGTGGTGGTCTAGAGAAGAGGCTAGGCATGTTTGATTTATGTTTCAACAGCCAATCACCACTACAAGAAGATATAAACACCAGGAATGCGAGTGGAATCCAATTCTGAAGTAAACCAGGACTTCTTTACCAACAAACTGACCCACCTGAATGCGATAGGTCTATAAGAAGACAATATTGAAAGAAAGAAAAATTGGCCTGAAAACCTTCACAGCTCATTTATGACATGTTTTTTGCAGTTTATGTCATACACTGTAATAACTGAAAGAGTTACAATTTATTGTATATCTACACAATAGTTTATGGCTTTGCAAGATATATGCGGCTTGCACAACCCCCCTCTGTTCCCTCAATGGAGTGCTCCACTCTCACGGTCCTTTATGCCGGAAGATTCCACTCATCTGTCCGGAGGGGGGATTCACGGAGAAGCTTTTTCTACAAGGCTGCCTGGGAGGGGCGGCTTGAGTCCTCTGGAGTTTTACATGCCGATACCTTACAGAGAGCCCTGTACACTTTCGTCAAACAAGCCTCAGTTCAGCGCCGACAAACCTACTGAAAATAGACCATCTACACCCCTCTCTGCCGTCCATCTCTCTTCCTTCACCCACACCTTGCCCCATCTCTCCCTCCGTTCCGTTACCGTTCACTCTCTCTCACGGCACCACGACTCTCGGCTTCGCGTTCCAGGGAGGAGTGATCGCCGCAGCCGACACGCGTTCCAGCTGCTCGGGGCTGGTGGCCTGTCCCGCGTCCCCAAGAGTGTCTGTCTGCGGACTGCAAGAGAGGGGCGTGACTCGAAGTTGTCCAACTCACACAGAACCACGCGAGATGTCAAAACGAGATGTTGTTGGCAAGATGGCCGCTTGTACAGAGACAACGGTGAGAATTTTTTTTGTTCCTTTAATAACCGTTCAAATTGAAGTGTGCAAGTTATTTTCATACAGTGGTATTGTTTATGGAGTTAATAATGTATTAAAACTAAGGTGTAAAGTAAGCAATATATAAGCAAAAGGTGTATCTTTGATTAGTATTGCAGTATTGCAGATGAGCACATCTAATAGACATGAAACAGGCATCTGAGTGATGTATGTGTGCTATTATGTATAATTCACTGTTGTCAACACTGTTTTTGATGAATGCAAGTCATGTAAACAAACAAATCTACACAAAGTAACTAAACATAAGTTATCTATTTTATTTGTCCATTTGTAATATTGATAATTTAAGGAACATTTGTGTTGAATAAAAAGCGAGTTACATCAGCAACTACTTCAACATGTAAATGCAGTATTGAGCAGATAAATCACAGAGGTGACTTGACTCTTGTCTGGATGTTACAGGGACAGATGAGACACGCGTGTGTTTATCCGCTGCAGATTGACTGATGAAGGAATGCTATATAAACATATTTTAAATCTTAAGTTGTAGGTTATATTAACTATTGTAATTTCAAACACCTATTACAGCACTTTTCTGAATCTTGATTTCTGTGCATTTGCTGGAGAGCTTTTGTGGTGGAGCAGGACCTGCAAGGCAAGGTGACGGCGGCATTTGTGAAAAAAAGGGAAAACCTGAAACAAAAATATAAATAAGATCATTTTGTTACTTCCAATACAGAAATCAGATGACAGTATGCTGTTAAAATGACTGCTTTTGTATTGTGTTTGTGCATCTTTGCAGGATCTGAAATGTCTGCAGACTGGTGTGAGCAGTGAGCCCCTTCTTCAAGTTACGCCCCTCTCTTGCAGTCCGCAGACAGACCTCCGCGTCCCCGAAGGTCTTACCCATCCACTCTCACCTGGTCGGCACCACCTCCAGGCTGTCAACAGGGGGCGCTGCCAAACTGCTGCATCCATTCAAAGGCACGGAACTGCGTCGCAGCCTAGCTGTGTGGATGGGATGGGGATGACCCAACAAGTCTCCAAAAGTCGTTCGAGAATATGCGGCCCGCGGGTTATTTATGTGTGCAGTGACGGGCTGCGCCTGCAGGGGGAGCTGTTCTCCGTGGGCTCGGGGTCTCCCTATGCATGCTCGATCCTGGACAGCAGCGTTTTCTGGGGAATGAGCGTACAGGAGGCCACTGAGGTCGCCAGGGAGGCCGTGTTCCGCACCACCTACAGAGACGCGTACTCGGGCAATAATGTCGATCTCTACCATGTGACCGCCAAAGGGTGGAGGCGCAGAGAGAGGGAAAACTTAAAAGAGGAGTATTACAGCGAGAAAGAGAGGGAGAGAAAGAGGATGGCGGAGAGAGACACTGAAAAGAAAGCAATGACGGAGAAATAGTTTAAGGAGAAACATAAGAGGCAGATTTTTAAAATACATTGATTTTGAAAGGATTTTTTATAGTAAAAAAAACAACAACAAAAAGAAACATGCAAAGACAAACATTGATAATTTATTACAATAATTAATAGGCTAGTTCTTGCTGTTTTACATTGTGAATGAGATTTCTTAAATAGTGCAGCCAAGAAATGAATTCCATCATGTCCATCATTTTTCTTTTTCTGGGGAACACAAAGGGAGATGTTTAGCATGAGTTGTATGGGATATCCTTATGGAACTTTTATAGTGCTTTTTGTCATTGCTAAATGTCTAAAACACACACACACACACACACGGGTTTGGAATTATATAAATGATTCAGAATTTTCTTTTTTGAGTGGACAATACTTTCTGATCATACCATTTCTGGCCACTTACAATTTAATTAATAATGAAGAATATTAAGTTAATTTATAAACTTATATGATCGAGTAGAAATGATTGATTATTGTAAAAAAAAATTCTTGAGCAAAAACACACAAAATTATACCAGAATGGCTGTCTTGATGAGTATCCAAGTAATAGTCGGTTACGTTTTAAGTGAACGTAAAACAGTTAAGAAAATATTGGATGTGCGTCAATATAACCATGCATTTCGAATGTTAATAATGTTAATCAAACCTAAAAAAAGAAAAATAGAGTATCTCTCGCTGATCTTTACTTCTGTAGTAACTTCTGTAACTTTATTTTTGTGTACTCTTTTTTGTATACAGTCATGGTAATTCAGACATATACCTCTTAAATGTCAGAAAATAACAAATAAAAAATTATTTTAAAACAGATAGCAATACTGATGTGGCACTTTTAGGTTACTAAATCAGATACTGATGTGCAATAAATAAATAAAAAACTGTCTTTCTATAACTTAAAATCTGTGCTGCAATGTATTCTTCATCACATCTGTTCATAGGAATTCGTGCTGTAATAAAAAAAAAAAAAAGAGTATGCAATGTCAAGTGTGTACTTGATCTTTGTGCAGTCGGCTCTGAGGTTAAAGCATTGTAATGACCCCTACAGGAAACAGAAGGGATTGCTGTATTTAATGTGTGCAGACTCATCTGTACATTGTTTTATTAATCGCCAATAACTAGTCTTTTGCTTTAAAAGTTAACATTTCACTTCCTTCATTACTTTGCATCGTAGGAAAAGGTAAAAACATACATGTAAGTCAGAAATTAGGGGTTTCATATGTGTAGTTTCTTGTTTTGTATTAAATGATAATCATAGGTCAAAAATGAAATGCAAAAACAGATATTTATCAACATAATTAAGCTTCTTGGTAATTCTTACAATTCCTCCATCTGTAATGTCATGTAAATATGGACACTATCTCATCATGATGCAGTGGTGTAACTGATTTACCTGTATGACTTTCATTTATACATAACACACAAAAGTAGCCTATCATTTATGCTTATTTTATACTGTATATCAACTTGTGTTTTTTGAAGCACAACTAGCAGAACATAGTAGCAATTTCTGATTCATGGGTCTGATTACTGAGAGACACATACTGATAGAATACAGCTTGAAAGCACTGTGCGTTATTTGTAATATACATAAGTGAATAAATGTTTCTGTGGAAGACAGACAGCCTTGTGCTAAAATGTTTTAAATATTTTTCCCACATC